CTCAACCTGTCCAAGTGAGTGATGGCCCCGTGGCCGCCAGAGCCCAGTGCTCAGGCCACCCCCGCCAGGGTGGACAGCGGGACCCCGAGCATGCCCGCTGCTGCCCCCAGAGGGGCCGTCCTCGGCCCCTGGCTCATCCCATCTCTTCACGAGCCACCCCCCATCGTCCTTGCCATCAGCACAGCTAACAGCCATCAGTGTCGCCTCTCAGCCTCTGGCTGCTGCCCCGGTCAGTCTCTTCCTTTGCCCCGTGACCAGGTCATTTCATTTTCTGCCCCCAGGGCAGCTCCATTTCAGTCCTCGGGTCATTCCAGCCTCTTTGATTGGCGGCCCCATAGCAGCAGCCAGGTCACCCCTCCATGGGCGGCAGGCCCGTAGCTGTTCAGCCATCGGACCATCCCATCCTTGGGGAGCTGGCCCGCTCTCAGCCTGTGTTTATGCCACTCATCTGCCACTCACCGGGCCTTCCCTCTTACAGCCAGCAGGTGGCTCTAGACCCAGAGGTTGAGCCCTGCCCATTCTGACCATCTGGTGACTCCATTGGCTTGTCTTGGTCTTGCTCACATCATCGCACCACCTGTTCGCAGGCCCAACAAGGTCATCCTCATCTCAGCCACCCCCCACTGGCTGTCCCCGGCTTGGTCAGCGGGGTGGCGGCTGGCGGGCTGCTGTGTTCTTGGAGGTTGGGTTGTCGAGCCCCAGCTGGCTCCTCTTTTCTGACGAGGGTGGTCCGACCTCATCCTACGGTCAGTCCCGGTCCTGGGCGATGGCTGTAGGCCTGGCCCTACTCTCAGCAGGTAGCACGCTCCCCGCTCCCCCACTAGGGGGCAGCCTTGTTCTCATCTTGGCTTTTAGACGCTCCTGTGGCCCCAGGCTCTCAGTCCCTGGAACCATCCTCACCCGCTGGGACATAGGTTCCCATCAGCTCCTTGAACTGCCTGGCTCCCGGCCGATGGGGCAGCCTCGCTCTCAGGAGGCCGGCGGCCCTGAGCCCTGCTCAGCTCCTGGGCCCTCCTGGTTCTCCTCACAAAGCCCGTGATTCCGGCTGTGTGCACGGAGGCCCCTGTGCTTTCTGGCCTGAGGGGACACTGGCCGAGGCCCCCCTGACAGTCCTTGGGAGGGTCCGGAAGGAAGCCCCACCCGCCCCCTCTG